TTTGACCGTGTGATGGGAATTTTGGGTTCTTTCTTCTCCTATACCATTTCGGCCATATTCCCTTGTATATGCCATCTGAAATTATATGGGCGTGAGTTGAGGTGGAAAGAATACATTCTAAATGTGGCAATCATCTTAATATGTGGACTTTTATCAACCCTTGGAACCATTTGGGCTTTCTTGCCTAGCGGCGATGATGATTTATGATGACCAAGTGATATTCCTGCAATTTAGAATCTTTCATTTTTAAAATATTTATTTTTTCGAAAAAAAAAAAAAAATCCTCACCATAGAATTTCACAATTTTAATTTATTTTCAGCATGAAAAATGAAATACAAAATTCGGTTTATGCATACATTACAGCAAGAGAGGGACTGTAAATTTCAAAACTTTCAAGAAAATTCATTGTTTTTTCAAAATAAAATCAAATATCATCTCTTTCAATATTGATCACTCGCGTTTTATTATTTTTACTGTACTGATGTATAATTTTTGAATTTTTGAGTACATCATTCATTTTTGATCGGGCTAGTCCGAAATGATTTAAGATCTACCCAAATATATAATACAAAACCGTCACTAATATTAAATATAAATAAATCGAAAATGCACGTATACTAACCATATCTTAAGGGATAATACAATATAATCAGGCATAATTATATTAAGCTTATTTCATATTTACAGTATATCAAATAGTATAATGAATGCTATTGATAATCATATATTTATTAAAAATTTGACTGTTTAAACTTACTTATTTTGGGGAATAATTATGTCTCGAAATGAACCTATACACTTTTACCCGAAGGCGAACAGGGATTGTAATATTACATTGTACTTCATATGTATTATTTGACCGAAAAAAAAAAAAAATCTTAACATTCTTTCGCCTTCAGAGATAATTGACCAATCAGGTGAAATTTATTTTTTGGTCAATAAACTTCACGAAAAAATTACTTGTACCATGTTTGTTTTCAATTAATTGCATTTCGTGTTCTTTATTTGCTTTATCGAATCAATTTAAAATGAGAAATTTGATTGGATCCAATAAAATGGTTCATTTCTTATTCCCTATAAAATATAAGAACC